CTCGCGCATCGCGAAAATCCGAGCTACTCGCACGCAAAGTTGGCAAAATCGCTAAAAGTTGCCAAATCAACCGTTACAAATGTAATTAAAGTGTTTGGGGAACGTTTGTCGACAGCCAGGAAGTCTGGATCGGGGGGAAATCGAAAACCGGAAGCCGCTGAGACGACAAAGAGAGTTGCCGGTAGTTTCAAGCGAAACCCTAACCTCTCTCTCCGAGATGCCGCAAATAAGCTGGGTGTATCGTCTACAACCGTGCATCGAGCCAAAAAACGAGCCGGACTATCGACTTACAAGAACGTAGTGACTCCAAATCGCGATGATAAACAAAATACGACGGCCAAAGCGCGATCCCGGAGGCTGTACACGACGATGCTGACGAAGTTTGACTGCGTGGTAATGGACGACGAAACCTACGTCAAAGCCGACTACAAGCAGCTTCCGGGACAAGAGTTTTATACGGCAAAAGGAAGGGGAAAGGTAGCAGATGTTTTCAAGCACATGAAACTGTCAAAGTTCGCAAAGAAATATCTGGTTTGGCAAGCCATCTGTACCTGTGGCTTGAAAAGCAGCATTTTCATAGCTTCCGGGACTGTCAACCAAGAAATTTACGTGAAAGAGTGTTTGAATAAACGTCTGCTGCCTTTCCTGAAGAAACACGATTGTTCCGTACTGTTTTGGCCGGATTTGGCATCTTGCCATTACGGTAAAAAGGCCATGGAGTGGTACGCCGCCAACAACGTGCAGGTGGTTCCCAAGGACAAGAACCCTCCCAACACGCCAGAGCTCCGCCCAATTGAGAAATACTGGGCTATTGTCAAGCGGAACCTAAAGAAGACCAAAAAAACTGCTAAGGGCGAGCAGCAGTTCAAGGCAAACTGGCTTTCTGCGGCGAAGAAGGTGGACAAGGTGGCTGTACAAAATCTGATGGCAGGGGTCAAGCGTAAGGCCCGGCAATTCGGATTTGGAAAAGCGGAAGCCTAACTGAATATTTTTCCTGAATTTTATACTAATTGAACTAAAAAAAGAAATTTAATTTGATTTTTTAAATAAACGATTTCACCGATTTACACGCGTTTTCCCTTGACCAAATTTTGACCGTATCACCCTTTAAACAACACGTTAGTACGCCATTTATCCACTGGTTTCACTAAAATGTTTGAATAATTGACGAAATTCAAATAGATAAATATGATCATGGTTGGACCTACGCATGATGAAGGTTGGACCTATGTGTTTCCTAAGACGGCCGCTAGGTGCGCTTTGGTTTGTCTACATCCTTTATGCGCAGCTGATTTGAAATTCGATTTCGTTTTTTTCCGAGTGATCAGTTTCTTCGATTGAAAAAATGGCTAAAGAAAAGAGTTATACGGTCGAAAATCTTCAAGAGGCTGTTCGTTTAATAAGATATAAATCACTTACCGCGTATCAGGCACAGAAAAGGTACAGTATTCCGAAAAGGACGCAACAATTAAGGGAAGCCACGGCAAGAAATATGGAAGGGAAATAGTGTTGAGTGTTGATTTGGAGAACCAGCTAGCGGATTGGGTTTGTATGTGCGCTGCTTCTGGCAGTCCCAAGACGGCTAAAAAGATCTTGGAAGCTGCTAAAAACCTTGCGTCACTAGTTGGGCGTAAATTTAAGGGAGGAATTCCATCGTCAGGTTGGTTGAAAGGGTAACCACCGATTTCCGAACTACCATGGAAGCGCCGAAAAAATCTGTTAATATGAATTTAAATTAAGCACTTCACATACACCTTCTGTGTGTGAATTAACTTGAAATAAAATGTTAACAAACTAAAAATTGCTAACTGAAATTTATTTCCGCAAAAAAAACGCCCCTAGGCCCCTAAGTACCCCGGGGGCACCCAGAACAGGCCCGGAAGTGGCCAATGTGGTCCAAGGCACTCAAATTTGTTATTGATCTTGTTATCGAATTTGGAAGTAATGTAAAGTGTCACATGATAGGTTTTATTCCTTCCATATCAAAATTAGGTCCATGTTCCATATACCCTGGAACTTGTTCCGGCCATATCTCTGGAACCAGTTGTCCGATTCCAAAAATATTCCATAGCTTTCAATGGGATCACAATACCTATAGTTTGACGTTAAAAAATTTCCAAATCGGGTCAATGATTCCCGAGAAAATGAGCCCTGATGAATAGCTATTGCGTGGAAAGTGAACTTTTTTTTAAAAACGAAGTTAAACTCAAATTTCTGGATTTTTTTAAATAGCCAATTCATAAAAACTGTATAAAAAGGGTTTTTTCATGATACCAATAAGCTCTAAACAAAGTTTTTGAACAAATATGGGCTAAACTAGCATTTGCAAAAATAGGTCCAACCAAGATCAGTATATTTAGGTCCAACCAACATCATAATTCTTTGCTGAATAAAAACGTTTTATAAAATCATTTGTTCATAATATTTAATTTTTTATGTTATTATTAGAAACAAGAATGGTAGATCTTTCCCCTAATCACGCATTTTTCATAATTATATGTTGAATTCATAAAAAAAAATACGACATGAAATTGACGTCGTGTGACACCGGCCTAAATAGGTCCAACCATCATCAGTTACCCTAGTCAGGATCAAAACTGATTTTTTTTTAGTTCAATGGCGGGGTATCTTCAAATGATTTAGTGAGGGTGTGAACTCCAATTAGCCCTCATTTAAATTCAGAAAAATGTGGTAAGATTTGAACACTGCTTACCTTGCATCCATTCTTCCAGGAATTGACAAGCGCTTGGACTCCACGTAAGAAGAAAATCTTTTGTAGTTCGGGCAATTCATCATGAAAATTATGAAAGGATTTTCGTTTGGTAATACCTTGTTTATTTGCGCATCAATAAAACTCGCACTTGCGGCCCATGGTGTAACCATCGATGTCGCGTTTCTAACCGAGACGTATCTCAAGCCGGAGGTCAACTTTAGCCTACCAAATCACACAATTGCTATACTGGACCGAGTTCGAGCACAGAGGGGTGGTGGCGTTGCCATTGCCATCTGGAGAGGACTGGAGCCATTGGAGTCGAGCTGGCATCGCCGGAGATGGTCTCATCACACTCATTGCCATCTGCTGTCCTGCCCAATGTAAGGAGTCGGATGGAACAATCGATCGTCTCAAGAATGACATCCAGAAGTTGACTCGTCGGAAGGGTAACGCACGCCACTCGCTGTGGGGCAATGCAAGAAGTAACAAGAACGGAGCAGTGCTGGCCACGGACTTGCAGGCGGGACACTACGTGGTCCTCCATCCGGACTCGCATACCGGTGTCGGATCCACCCTCAACATCGTTCTCACCAACATAGCGGACGGTTGCTCTGAGCCCCGTGCCATTACCGAGCTGTCATCCGACCACCTACCGGTGGTTTTCGAGATGAATCAAACCATCAACCAACGTCAGCAGCATCGTAGGCGAAACAATCATCGAGCGAACTGGCCTCAACTCCAGCGGTTTATTTAGGATCAAGTGGTCGAAAATCCTGCGTTAACGACGACGGAAGAAATCGACGGCGTGCTGCAAGCGCTCTCCGATGACATAGGCGAAGCGGAACAACGGTTCATCCCGACAACCCCGGTGACATGTAAGTTTACCAACCTTGATGATGAGACTAAGCGTATAATATCTCTTAGGAATTTTGTTAGGAGGAAAGTTTTATATAACAAATTAAACAAAATTATTGTCATTAGGGTGGAAAAACTTAGGAACAGGCAGTTTGCAAAAGACCTTAGTAGTTTACTAAATTACTCTAGGCCCTTCTGGCGTTTAACAAAAGTGCTTAAAAACAAACCAAAGCCCATGCCGCCTCTTAGAGTTGATAATGAGGTTCACATAACAGCCGTCGAAAAAGAGAACTCGATTTCTCAACATTTTATTGCCTCGCATAATCTGTGCCGAGATATTGTCAGCCCGATGAAGGGTCTGGTGCTTCAGAGCGTCTACCAGCTAGCTACTGAGCCTAGTGAGCTTCCGACGGACCGGAAAATCACACTTGATGAGCTGGTGAACACCATCAAGTCGACGAAGAACATGAAGGCACCGGGTTTCGACGGACTCTTCAACATTGTCCTGAAGAATTTGGGACCGAAAACGCATACTCTTCTGGTGAACGTCTTCAATCGCTGCCTGGAGCTTGGACACTTCCCAGCTGCCTGGAAACGGTCCAAGGTGGTACCGATACCGAAGCCGGGAAAGGATCCTACCAACCCGTCCAGCTACCGTCCAATCAGTTTGCTTTCCTCGCTTAGCAAGTTGTTCGAAAAACTCATTTACGCCAGGCTCCTCGAGCACACCGAGGCGAACGACATCCTACTGGACGAGCAATTTGGATTCCGACGAGGTCACTCGACGGTGGACAAACTCAAGTGGGTCTCAAACCTTATCAATCAGGCGAAGTCGGTCTTGAAGACAACGGTCATGGCGATACTGGACATTGAAAAGGCATTCGATAACGTGTGGCACGATGGCTTGGTGTACAAGCTTCTGCAATTTCGTTTCCCCAGCTACCTGGTGAAGATTATCTCGGACTACCTCGACGGCAGGACGTCTCAAGTATGCGTAGGCAGTGCTCTCTCGGAACCGTATGATGTACCCGCTGGAGTCCCTCAAGGAAGCATCCTGGGACCCATATTGTACAATCGGTACACATCGGACATACCGACACTGCCGCAAGGTGGAACACTGTCGCTGTTTGCTGACGATTCGGCAATCAGCTACAAAGGACGAGTAATGAGCAATCTCGTATTGAAGCTCCAAAATGGATTGGATGCCTACACCATATATCTCACCGACTGGAAGATATGTGTGAATGCGGCTTTCAAATATTGAATAATGGTAAGGCTAACGTTTATTCGATAAAAGCACATGTTTTAAACTGAAGGGTAAAGAGAGGTACATATGTCAAAAACACTCAGTGCCGCCAGTCTGGTCAGGTGCGGAAGCCAGTGTGTACAGAAACGTTGATTTGTGTATGAAAACATAACACATTTCCCTCCTTTAACGGCCATCTGACGAGAAAATGATTCGTGGCTTCCTGGCTCTTGTCGACCTTCGTGGAGCTGCTGGAGGTGTTACCACTCCGCTAGCATCGCGGGTGATGCTCGGGGTGGTGAACTGCTCACCACCACTGTTTGTTGATACCTGGGGTGATGTTGGCTGTTCCTGAAGACCGCCTGTAGTGGAACCGTCGATTGGTGTTGATTCCAACGCAAATCGTGAAGAATATGGATCTGGTTTGTCACTCATACCACAGCCATTTCTCGGCAAACCAGGTACGCGATTCTGGAGCTGATCGATATGCCGTTTACACTTTTTGCCATTATAGTCAACCTGATAGTGCAAGTCTCCTAAGCGAGCCGAAATTACACCGGAGACCCATTTATCCATCCGTGGGTTGAAAGACCAAAAATAAACTGGCTGGGAGACGCCAAACTCACGAAACGATGAATCCAACTTATTTTTCTGTTGTTGGCAGATTCTTGTAGTGAGATCCGCTGGCAACAGTAGATTCAGGCGTGTTCGAATGTTCCTACCGAGAAACAGTTGACATGGCGGTTGACCAGTAGTAGAATGAGGTGCTCTTCTGTATTGTCGAAGAAACTCGTTCAAATTGAATTGAATGTTGCTTCTCGTTGTATCCATTGCTTTCAAAGCATTCTTCACTGTCTGGACACAACGCTCGGCCTGTCCATTGGTTGATGGGTGGTACGGAGCAGTTAACTTGTGATACCTTACGCCTACCATCCGAAGATAAGTCTTGAACTCAGTAGATGTAAAATTAGTTCCATTATCTGAAACAATAGTTGTGGGTACTCCATACGCTGCAAAAAGTTCATCTAGGAGAGCAATTGTAGCACTAGCGGTCATGCTGATGGTAACCTTCACCTCGATCCACTTACTATACGCGTCCGTGATTATGAGTAACATCACTCCAAGATACGGCCCAGCATAATCTATATGAATGCGCCCCCACGGCGCCTTCGGGTACTCCCACACGTGATCGCGAAACTTTGGAGGATCGTTGGCATTTTTGGCACATTCATGACACTCCTTTGCAGCGCGCTCGATGTCCGCATCGATTCCGGGCCAATAAATAAACGATCGCGCCAGCCCCTTCATCTTCACTATTCCTAGATGTCCGACGTGTAAATCCTTCAGTACAGCTTCCTGCAAAGAGCGCGGTACTACCACCCTGTGTTCATATACTAGACATCCAGCTGCAGTTTTGTAGTTGATTTCGGGGGACTTGAAGCCTACACGTTCCAAAGATTGGCCCTCCTCGAGAGCGCGAAGAATCTTGCCCAAGACGTCATCTCGCCGTGTTTCCTGGGCGATTCGTTGAGCATGGATTGGTAGCTGTTGGATTTGATGCAACATAAAACAATCGAATGCATCGAACTGTTCGTCTCGTCCGATAGTCATCTCTCTCAATAGGTTTACTCCACACCCTGGAACAACACGGGAACAGTAGTCTGCGTTGACATTTTCCTTCGTTCGTTTGAAAACAACGTCGAAATCGAAGTTTCCCAGAAAAACGGCGTAGTTGGCCATACGACTAATGCAAAGCGTCGGAAGCGATTTTTCTGGATGTAGTATCTGTGACAGCGGCTTGTGGTCAGTTATTAATGTCCAGTGATGTGCATACAGGTACATGAAAAATTTCTGCACAGCCCAAACTATCGCAAGGGCCTCCTTATCCATTTGTGGGTAGCGCTGCTCTGTCGTGCTTAACGTTCGACTGGCATAAGCTATCGGTCTTTCCACTCCATCACTCAGACGATGCGACAACACCACCCCCAGTCCTGTACTACTGGCATCCGTTGCTAGCAGTAATGGAAGCTCCGGATCGTACTGCATTAGCACCTGTGGTGAAATCAATGCACTTTTGATTTCTGCGTACGCTGTCTCGGCGCTTGCTGTCCACTTGAAATTGTCGTGGAGTAACATATCTCGGAGAATCCTGTCCCGTGTGGAAAGGTTAGGAATAAATGTGCTGTAATAAGTTGCCTTTCCCAGAAACAGCTGTAGTTCTTCGGGGCTCGACGGCTTTTTTGCATCCCGTATTGCTTCAATATGCCTGTCCGACTTATGTACTCCTGCAGCGTCGATTTTATGTCCCAGGAACTCCACAGCAGGAGCCCCGAACACGCACTTTGAACGATTTAGGCGAAGTCCATTAGTTCTCAGCCACTCCAACGTTTTCTCTAGTACATCCAACATCTCCTCGAAGCTTGCCGCATGTATCAAAATGTCGTCGTAGAAATTCACAACATTCGAAAGTCCTTGTAGAACCGTTTCCATTCGCCGTTGCCAAATTGCAGGAATATTGGCAGCACCATATACAGCTCGTGTGGGTCGAATCAACCCGTGCGTAGGTGTATTCAGCGTTAGAGCATGACCAAAATCATCGTCAACCGTCAAATGGGAATACGCATCGGTTATATCGAGATGACAGAAAACCGCCGCACCTTTCATTTTGTGAAAAAGATAGTCTGCACGGGGAATTGGATGCTCATCAATTATCATTCGGGCATTCAAAGTTGGCTTGTAGTTACCTGTAATCCGAATCGTTCCATTCTTCTTGGCGACGACGTGAGTAGTAGATGCCCATTCAGATGATTCCACACGCTTGTAAAGACCGGATGAAATTTTCTTGTCTATTTCTCTGGCGTACGCATCTCGTAAAGCGAATGGAATTTCCCGTGCATTTGAGAAGACTGGAGATGCTCCTGGTTTCAGATGTAGAGAAGCCGGAGGGCCAGCCAGCTTGCCAGCAGTCTCGCCGAATACACCATCGAAACGTGAGATGAGATGCGACAGCCGTGCCAAACAACTGCACAAAGTCAATGTCGTGTGCAAATTGCGCAATCCATTCTCTACCGAAGAGTGAATCGAAATCTCCGTCTACGACGTACAAGTTTAGACGCCGGGAGGTCCTACCCAACGTAACATTCACTGGCAAGCGGCCGATGCAGTGGATTCTATGCCGGGTGTAACTGGCAAACTGTCTTTCCGATTTGTGCAGGCGAAAACTAGCTTTGATCTTGCGAAGCGTACACAGGCTCACGATTGCACACGGCGCCCCTGTGTCTAATTCCATCTTCACAGCCTTTCCATCAATCTGAACTTCTAGCATCTTCCTGTCCAGAGGTTCAACTGACGAGATGACATCAACTTTCTGCAAAGCCTCCGTGTGATCGGCGTAATCGGATCCCTCATCCGATAATGGAGACAGTTCTTCCTTGACTTGAGCCGTCTTCGATCTACATACCTTCGACAAATGTTCCTTTCTGTTGCAAGCAAAACAAACCGCATCCCGGAATTTGCAGTATTTTCGCTCATGGCGGCCTCCACAGCCATGGCATGTTGGAGCACGATCCTGGTTGCTCGAGCCTTGACGAAAGCTTCCTTTCTTTACACCCGTTGACACATAACCCAACTTGTTTGTTGTTATTGTCGTTCCGGCCGGATCCGTTGTCACTTCTACAGATGTCTTGTGTGTAGCTTCAATTGTGTGCGCAACCTTGTAGGCAGTGTCAAACGTCTCCGGGTTTTTCGCAATAATTTCATCGCACATTCCGCGAGATTCCAAGCCAAAGAGTAACTGTTCGATGAGCATACGGTCCAAAAAATCTCCGTATTCGCAATGAGCAGCAGTCTGTCGTAGTCGCAAAGCAAAACTCGCAATACTCTCTTCCGGCTCCTGGCGCAGTTGGCGAAATTTAATGCTTTCAGCATACTTATTTTTCGGCCGGTCGAAGTGTTCCACCAATGTTGTTTTTATCGCAGCGTATGTCAAATCCTCCGGTTGCCTTGGGCTGACGAGAAATTTGAGTGCGTTGTTCAGTTCAATTCCCATATGAACGCGAGCATATGCGGCATGGTCCGCCTCCCGGATTCTGCTGAGGTTGAGCGCCCAGTCGAAACGCTTGAAATAGTCCTCCACTGATGAACCGTCCGATGTCTTGAATTCTCCGATTGCGAAAGCTGCTGGTTTTGAGCCTCCTTCTTGTGCTGCATTGGCACCGCCGGCTGCTGCTGCTGAAACTTCCTGAACTGCTGCTTTTAGCGCATTGGTGAAAACAGTAGTAAGGCTCTGTAGCACCTCCGCTGGAATGGACATTTTATCCAACTTCTGACACCACTTTCAAATATTGAATAATGGTAATGCTAACGTTTATTACTGATTAGGAAAATTACGTTTATTCGATAAAAGCACATGTTTTAAACTGAAGGGTAAAGAGAGGTACATATGTCAAAAACACTCAGTGCCGCCAGTCTGTTCAGGTGCGGAAGCCAGTGTGTACAGAAACGTTGATTTGTGTATGAAAACATAACAGCGGCCAAAACGCAAACCATTGTGTTTCCGCATAGCAACACCGACCGGCTCAAACCGTCATCAAAGATAAAGGTTCTGAACGCTGAGACTGAGTGGTCTCCCGAGGTACGCAACCTTGGCTTGATTTTCGACAGTAAGCTCCTCTTCCGGTCGCTCGTGGTGCACCATCATGCTGAAACGTCTGTATCCGATCGTCAACCATCCACCGTCAACAAGTTGGCTGTCTACAGGCAGATTGTTGCGCCTATGCTGGAGTATGGGTCTCCGGTATGGAAGGGTTGCGCTTAAACACATCGGAAGAAGCTCCAAGTCCTGCAGAACAAGTTCCTGAAGATGATTCTAAATCTGCCTCCACGCACACGGATAGCCGAGGTTCATCGGCTGGTAAATCTCGATCAAATCGATCAGAGAATGACAGCGCTCGCCAGTTGGCACCAAACTAGGATTCTAAATTCAGAGTACGAAAAAATTAGAAATCTTTACCCATAATTTTGTAAATAGTAGGTTTAGTTAGGATTTAATGTAGTTAGATAGTAAATTTAAAACTTTAAATAGAACCAATGCTCACAATGTAAAATGATAAATACCAAGTAGCAAAACTTAGCCAATGTCTTTCAGTAATTTTAGGAAATAATGAATAACTAATGTTGATCACTTACACTGTAAAACTATGGGTAAACAAAAAAACTGAATAAAAATAAATTCAATGTAAAAAAAATATCTACACAGAGAGAGAGAGAGAGAGAGAGAGAGACAACCTCCCAAAGCTGTATATACGAAGTTTATGTTTTTTTTTTCTATCAAATGTCATCGCTGGAACCACCGCAGTCCCGCAGATCGATGCCATCATCAAGCTTGAGACAAAACATGAGCTCCGATAATGTGCGCACGTTCTTCCCTAAGAGGAAGAGGAGACTACTGGCTTCTTTTTGTCTGTGGCGTGTTTTTCTTCTCCCGCGGAAACGACCTGGCAAAAACTAAAGCATTATGGGCGATGCAGTCGGCTGTCAAAATACAAGAAAATAGATTCCCTGTTGTAAAAACTCTCGCGTTTCTATACGTTCGCCCGACCAATCAGGCGCTGGTTCACGTTTGACAGAAAATTGGTTCATAAAAGTCCCCCTATTGTCTCCTCTTCCTCTTAGGTTCTTCCGTTCGTCACCATGCACACACACACACACCCTCGCCCCGTGAATCCATCATCATTTCACCGCACCGATGAAGTCAATCTCGGAGAGGGGATCCAACAACAACAGCAGCCCTACAACGCAACGGGGCGGAAATCGTTTTAAAATATAATGGCTCTCCAGTCGGGGAGTGCTCTGAAGAGGAGACGCCATTTTTTTTTATCCATTTGACTCTTCTTCTCGTTCCCCTCCCCCCATAGCAGCCACTTATCGCAGGGAAGATGAGTAATTTAATTCGAACTAATAAAAATGGAGTTTTGATGTAGCTCTTCTGGCCCGTTGGAGATAATGCGCTGGTCCATTTTTAGAGAGCGTTCGTATGCCTGCACCGCACTGACTGGGTGCGATGATCTTTCAACCCGTTTCGTGCTGTGGCGGACGTCGTCGTCGGTTTGTACCGCGACGATCACAATCAACAGGACAATAAATTTCATTTATTAATATATTTCCTTTTTCCAGTTCCAGCCGTGCTATTTGCATTAGATAAGAAAACGGTGCGCTTTCTTGGAGCTTAACGAATGCAGAGCAAAAACACGTATTCCGTGTGGTTTCTTAAACCGTGACTATTTAAAATGTGCGCCATGACGACGACAACGACGACGACCACGACTACACAGAGCTGGATCCGTAGTTGGGTGAGGTTATGAGATAGGAATGTTTTTTTTTTTCCTTTCAGAATTCAGTATTTGCACAAATGGCTGCCATTCCAGTGAGAGCACATCGTGTTTCAGAAGCAGCAATATTTATAATTTTATATGCCAGTTTCACTATTTTCAACAACTAAGCTCTGTTTAGATTGAGCCACTATCCAACCACAAAAGCGTGGTAGACCGTCGACAGCAAAGCCTTATTCAAATGATTGCATGTTTCCCTGCTGGATTGGTATACCTCCGAGGCAAAACCGCAATGTACCTGCATTTAGAGCTAAACATAAGCAAATTAGGTGTGCAACACTACAATGCAGCCAAACATGCAGCACACATGTCTTCTCCACCACCACTCCCGAGGACGACACAACGTGGCCGACATCATCATCGTCGTATCGTTGTCACCGTCGTCGTCGTCGTCGTCGTCGTTTGTCTGAGTAAATAGTTCCAAATAAAATAATTAATTAGATATAAAAGCACAGCACCAGCAGCCATAAACACAGTTCCATGGAACGAACGGGATGCTGTCGTTGTTATCTCCGGCTTGGATCGTATATCTGCTCCGTTGTACTCCCTCTGTGGCAACCAGCCATGCTTGCGGAGCTTGTTGTTTGCAAATACCTTCGTTGTAAACTGGTTGCCACCGCCATCAACCTTCTCAGAAAGACCTCCAAACGCTCAACCGCTGTGAGCTTCGTTTTGCGTATCGGATCCCATAACAAATGGGATAATTTGTTCGTTATCGCCCATCATCCAAAATAGCTACGGTACGACCTCGTTGATTTAAAACCAAACTAAACCCAACCAAACTGTTGCACTACCGGTGGTTGTCATGGCAACGTCAATGGATGCGCGTCGCGTTCCAGTCAGTAGAATCCACAGCACCAGGCATCCAGCAGACAAACGTCCCAGCCTGCTTAGTTGTGTATATCCTAAATATTTGCCGTCGCAAATATTGAATCAATCTCTTGAGAGTGTTTGGTGTGCTGTAATCTTGTACACATGCTCGCGCGACAATTTGACCGGGTCTTCTGGTCCTATACCCCTGCCTGCACATAGCAGAAGGCCCCTTTGATGGCTGACACGAGACGGTTAATGTTTTCCTTCGGTGGAATCAACTGTCAGATATGGGTTGTTTATTTGTTATTGAATGTTCACTTTCTGTTGGGTAGGTATACATACCTTGATTCGGGTTGCGAAGGTTGGAAGCTGTGGTGCGAGTAGTGTGCTTTATAGTTTGAAAACCCAAGAATGATTTACATTTTTGAAGATGTTTTGGGCTCATAAGTTTACCTTATTATTACATCATCCAGTTCCCTTCGAATTCTTGTCTTCCAATCAGTAGCTCAAACAACTTCTGATTCGAGATGCAACAATTGGGCCAGGTATTGAGCATTGAAGTGCTAATTTTTTTTTCTAAAAATTGGTTATTTCCTTTCTAACAAGGAGGTGACAAACGGTTGTAGTGACATTTTCCTGGTTCTATTCGATGTTCGGCAAATAAATTCGACGGAATAGTCGGTGCATCACAACAGTTTTAATCCACGTCAAATAACGATTTTGACTATCAGAATTCTATGAAACTTCGCATAATATTTCGTGTTGGAATTCGGTAATTTTGACTCCCGCCTAAATTTTCAAAATGGCGTGTTCGATATTTATCAATACATCATTGCACGAAAACGGCTCATCTAATCGAAATGATGTCTGAGACAATGTTTTAGGAAACTGAATTTCCTTTTCTTTTGACGTTGGACTACGTCTTTAATTTCTATACTGGGGGTCACATTGAAACAATCAAAATTCAGACATGTAACGAAAAATCCCAAACACGGACGCAACGATAGAGCAGAAGTCGAACAAACGACACATTGCACATGTTCACATGAGCAAGCTCAATGCTCGGTTGATCGCACACCATTTCACCAACGAAAGGAAGGGAGGAGAAAAGCAGCGATAATAAAAACGTTCGCCAGCGTCGGACACGACATATGAGTGGAACAGCATGCATCGCACCAATACGAAGACGACCGACGACGACGAAAGCACCCACATCGACTGGAGGAAAGGCTTCCCGCAATAGGCCACAGTCATTCGATCGGCTTCGACTTGCACTGGTGTGACCACCATTTGAAAAACAACCGGCCACCAATTCAAAAACGGAAAGAGTTAAGGGGGTAGTCCACTCTGGCGGCATGAAAAATAGGATATTTTCACGTATTTTTTTGAGGGTAAATAACGATCAATAAAAAAAAAGAATGCATGGTTTTGTCAATTGAAATGTCTTCTTTAATTGAGATTTTTTTTGGCGCGATTGGATGTCTCCTGTAGCCGCTGCACCAGGTTCCCCAGGAGACCTCCCGTCTGAGTCGTCGCGGGGCGGAACGTCTGACTGTCACACGACTGGAGCTGGAATAACGATTTTTTTTTGTGTGGTTATTCTCTGATAGATGACCCAGTCTTGTACGTAGCCGTTTTTGATTTGGTTGAAAAATAAATATTTGGCGACGTTTTGAAAAAAAAACAGTCCGTTTTTGTACCCTTAAATTGGAGATAAAATCTTGCACCAAAAATTCATTTTTGATTCTTTTGAAAATCGGCTACGTACAAGACTAGAAAAAAAGGTACTTAACTCGAAAATTCAATCGCCGTTTAAATCGAATGAGCCGTTTCTAAAATACCGCGCCCGCCAATTTTGCCATCTGCCATCTGGTAACGACGCGGCAGCAGTTGGAACTACTAAGACACGCCGTTTCGCCGGTAACGGGCGGGTACTCCGAGCGCTCACCTGAGCGCGCTTGGAGCGTCTAGACACGAGTCCACTAATCGGCCTATAACTTTGGAACGATGTCACTTGCGGACTTGCGGTCAAGTCTATGTCAAAGTAGACATTCCAAAGTAATTTTTAAGCAAAAAAAAAAGATTTTTTGAAATTTCCAGAGTGGACTAC